GGCTAGGGGTAAACCCTAAATCGTAATTTGAAGACAGCCAGGGGTAAATGCTAAACTGTCTAATGTGGGACGGCCATGGATAAACGCTTAGCCGTAATTTAGAGACAACCAAGGTAAGCGTTAAATTGTCTGATGTGGGACGGCCAGGGGTAAACACTAAACCATAACTTAAAGACAGCCAGGGGTAAACGGTAAACTGTCTTATGTGTACAAACAAGATATATATATATTTTAATCCTTTGCGAGAAACTATGTTCAGGGACATAAATATACAATTTCAAAATGAAGATTTATACTTTTACTCTTTATTTATTTATTATTATTATTTAATTTATATTTTAAAGAAATCCCATGCAAAGTACCTTGCAAATATATATTTTTTAAATAGTTATTTATAAAACAAAACCTCAAAACCAACTCTCCTTTTCAAGGAAAGTGCTCAGCGAATCATGGATGGACAAAATCTTCTTGACGAGAGCCTTATGATTGATATTATGCGACTTGTCCTTACTTGATTGAGAGAGATCTAACACGTTGATTTGCAACTTCTGACTAATCTTAAAGCTCTTGGTGTATTAATGCCCTTGCTTTATACCTTTTTTTTTTGTAATCCTATTATAAAATTCTCAATGGAATGCAAAGTCACGGTGGAACTTGGGATACGGAGACAAGGGGTATAAGGAGAAAATGTTAAATGTAAAAGAGAGAAGAATGACGAAGGAATGGATATATTCGATAGGTAAAAAGAAGGATACTATGAGATGAGAAAAGAAATATATATATATGATTTTATTGATCACGAAAAGATTACAGGTATTTGATAACAAAAGTTGAAAGCAACAAAGATAACTCTTCTAAACTTGCCAATGCCCCAGTAAAATGCAATAATGTATCCTCATACTTCATGCAAAGTTTCTCTTAACGTAATCTGAGTTAATCGGTCCGGACAAATCATCTCCGTTCATGGTTGTCAACAGTAAGGCTCTCCTGAAAAAGCCTTTTTACCACAAAAGGTTCTTCGTAGCTCGGAGTCCATTTTCCTCGATGATCCTTTTGAAATGGGAGTATTCTTTTCAATACTAGATCTCCTTCTTGAAAATGACGATGACGTACTTTCTGTTGATGAGCTTGCATCATTTTCCTTTGGTAGAGTTGTTCTCTACATAATGAGGTTAATCTTTTTTCTTCAATGAAGTTCAATTGCTCATATCTTGTTTGAAGCCATTCAGATTCTTCCAACTTTACTTCCATCATAACTCTTAGATATGGTATTTATACCTCCATTGGAAGGACAACTTCCATGCCATATACTAAAGAAAATGGGGTTGTCCCAGTCGATGTCCCAGTCGATGTGCGAACCGCTGTACAATATCCATGTAATTCAAAAGGAAGCATTTCGTGCCAATCCTTGTACGTAATTGTCATTTTTTCTGTGATCTTTTTAATGTTTTTATTAGCTGCCTCCACTGCACCATTCGTCTTCGGATGATAAGCTGTTGAATTTAAATGCTTGATCTGAAATTGCTTGCAGATCTCATCCATCATTTTATTGTTCAAATTTCTCACATTGTCTGTAATTATTCTTTCTGGAAGACCATAACGACAAATCAAATCTTTATGAAGTTAAGGACTACATTCCTTGTGACATTCCGGTATGAAGCTGCTTCAACTCAATTTGTGAAATAGTCAATGGCCACGAGAATAAAGCGATGCCCATTGGTAGCTTAAGGTTCGACCGGACCGATAATATCTATGCCCCTTAAGGGCCAAAAAGTCAACATCCTTCTCTTATCATAGTTTTTGCAACCATCATTGAAGCTTTTGATAATGATTGTTCAAAGCTCTGATCTTCTACCTGATTGAAGATGATAGCGTTTGTAATTTTAAAGGAACGAAAAGAACATTCCAGAGCTTCTTTTGCTGCCTCTACATAGGGGTATCAGTAGATTTAGTGACGAGCAAATCTTTTTGACCGAATATGCAGATTAAAGTGTTTTCGAAAACAAACTTCAATCTTTGATGTAAAGTCGATGGAATAACTCCTGCTGAGTGAATCCAAGGCCTACCCAACAAACAGCTATAGGTCGGACTTATGTCCATCAGTTGAAATGTCACATTGAAAGTACGAGGTCCAATTTTGATGGGCAGTTCAATATCACCTACAACTCCTCTATGGGTTCCATAAAAAACTCTCACAACCATACTACTGTGTTTAATGTGAGTTGAATCTACCGGTAACTTTAGTAGCGTATACATTGGCATCACATTTAAAGATGATCCATTATCGACAAGAACTTTTGCAATCGCGTGATCTTTGCATTTTACCACTGTGTGTAGTGCTTTAGTATGCCCACTACCTTCTGGTGGAATTTCTTCATCCATGAAAGTAATAGTATTGGAAGAAGTGATATTTCCCACGATTCCGTCCAGCTTTTCAATTGTGATGTCATAGTTCACATGAGATTGATTCAAAACATCCATTAAAGCCTTGCGATGTGGTTTGGAATTAATGAATATTGATAACATGGATATGCAAGCCGGTGTGTGATGCAACTGTTCGATCACTTTATATTCATTGTGCTTGATCAACTTCAAAAACTCAGAAGCTTCTTCATCTGATACTATTTTCTTAAATGAACTTCCCTTAGCCATAACAGGTTCTTCACCCCAAATTTCCTCTAGATCGGGGCAATCTTTCTCTTTTCCTTTTACCGTCCAAATTTTATGCTGCTCATCGACTTGTGACGCTTTTAAGGTTTCAAGCTTGTAGCATATTCCACTTCTGGTCATTCCACTAACTCTAGAAATGTTAGTCACGATGGAGACTTCTTCGTCGAGAGTATGACAACCATAATGCCATGGTACTGCTTTATTATCCTTGTATTTATATGGGCTAGGAAGTTGAATAGTTAAAGGTTGTAGGATGGATGAGTTGGCTGAAATGATTGTAGGTTGTTCTTTAAAAATAACCACCAATGGTTCTAGCTTGAATGAATATTTTGATGACGCCTCTTCTTCTGTGACCATATTAACAAAGTGGGCTTCTACATCATTCCCCCATGCTAAACATGTTGTTTCACTGTAATTCAGACAATCATCCGTCAAATGTTGATATACGAAGTCAATAACCTCTTTCCCTTCTGATGAAGCATGTATAACATTAACTGTCGGGTTGCCATGATTAGGATGTGGATTCTGAGTAACATCTGGGCCTCTTCTGCCTTTTGAAACTTAAGCCATCTAGCCCTAATCAAATCCTGCACCTTCCCTTTGAGTGTGTAACAGCTTTCTGTTGAATGCCCCACTGCCCCTGAGTGGTAATCGCATCGCGCATTATGATCGTACCATTTTGGGTATGATGGCTGCATAGGTCTATAGTTAATGGAACAAATTGCCAATTCCAAATCAATTGTGGTAGCAACTCTATATATGTTAAGGGGATTGGATCATAGCATCTTGAATTATTTCTGTAACTTCTTTGAACATCAGACAAGTTAGAATCCCAAGTATTAGCACGAGCATCTAACGGCTTACTATAAGACCTGTGGGGTTTACCGCCTACCGGATAATGTATAGCCTTCAGATTTCCAGCAAGTGGTTTTTTACCATAAATAATCTCATGGACTTCTCCCTCTTTCTTTTTTGGGATAAAGTTTTTTTTTTTGCTGGCGTCTGATGTTGTATCCATGATCCTTCCATATTTCACTCCATACTCGATTCTTTCTTCGATAGTAATGATATCTGAGAAGTCTGTGGAAGCATTTCCGATCATTCGGTCATAATAAGGAGATCGAAGAGTGTTTATGAACATGGTCGTCAGTTCTTTGTTTGTTAATGGATGTTGAATCTGTGCTGCCATATCTCTCCATCTTTGTGCATACTCTTTAAAGTTCTCTGTGCTTTTATTTTCTAAATCGTTGGAGATCCAAACGATCTGGTGCCATATCCAGGTTGTGTTTGTATTGCTTGATAAAAAGATCTGCCGATATTTCCATTTATGCACATGAGCTGTATCTAGCTCCATATACCAGCGAGACGCGGGACCATATAAGCTATCTTGAATGAAATGTATCAAAAGCTTCTCTTCATGAACATGTGCCGCCATTTTTTTGCAATACATGATTAAATGGCTCCTTGGACAAGACGTCCCATCATACTTCTCAAATTCGAGTACCTTAAATTTTGGAGGGATAACAATATCAGTCATTAAGCACAACTGTGTTGCATCTATGCTTCTGAATGCGTCAGCACCTTCTATGGCTTGTAGGCGCTCTTCTAGGAAATCTAACTTTCCTTTTGATGCAATCTTTTCAGCTTTTTCTGTGACTTTCCCTGAGTTACGAAGTTCATGATTATTAATGAGATCATTGATATCCTTTCTTTGTTGCACCAAAGGGTGAACTTGTTCAGACACCATGAAGGTTTGATTTTGAACTGCTCCTTCCCCAAATGAAACCATTGGGGGCGTCTGAGTGTAAAAAATTGGCTGACCAGGTATAGTAGTCATGCCATTATGTGGGTGTACCTGTGGGGTAAAACCAGGAGCATAAAGTGAGGTATCATCTAGTCCTCTGACGACGTCGCTAGCGTGTGGTTCTTCTACCACTAATTTTCCTTTCTGTGCCATGAGTAGGTCCAAAATCTTAGTCATTTGCTCTTTCAAACGTTCAAAATCTTGTCCCAATTCTTGGTTTCGCTTATTATATTGTTCAGCCATGATCCTTGATTGCGCTCTTGTTTAATAAGGATGGCAATTTTGAGGTAGTTGGGCTATTTTGTCAAATTTTTCGTTAACCTCCCTCTTTTCTTTATGAATAACTGTAAAGAAAATTTTTGCTTTATAACAAACTTATTCAAAATTAACTTTAATGAGGCATGCAATCATAACAAAAACTGTTTTGGCTCAAATTGTTGTGCAAAATTGTAAAATGAAAGACTTCAACTTTATTAAATGAGATAAATGATCAAAATACTGAAGGGATGTGAATCCCGGAGCGGAAGCGGATCTTCGTTGCTGTTTTTGGGATGCAAAATCGAATTAGAAATAAGGAAAATACAGGGGAAATTCAAAACCTTTGAAGAACGTTTCTTCAGTAAGTTCCCCTCGAACACCACCACTATGTCTTCCTCGCTATCTTCTTGGGTCTCGGGATCGTGCTTGTGGGAGCGTCGATTTGGAACGTAAGGGAGAATTTTGAGAGAGAGAGCTTTTCATTGAGAGAGATCTGGGAAATTCTCTTCTTTGTTCTGTGTTCTGTAACTTTTGCAGAACTGCAAAAAAACAAAAGCAGTGACGTGGGGTAACTCCACACGTCACACTAACCTCCCACTCCCCTGCAATTTTGCAAGGGAGTTTAATATTATTAATATTAATATATATATATATATATATATATTAATTTATTTATATAAATAATTAATATATATATATATAAAATATATATATATATATAATAATTAAAATATAAAATTTATTTATTAATTAATCATATTAATTAATAAATAATTATTAATTATTAATCCAATTAATAATTAATAATTAATATATATATATATATATATATAAATCAAATAAATAATTAACACTTAATTATTTATCACAAAAATGGAATCATATTCTATAACATTTCTCTCGTATAACCTATAGTTCTAATGTACATCTTATGCACATTATTTTTAACCTATAATTTTAATATGAATCTTATTCATATTAATTTTATTTGGATCTCATTCAAATAATTTCTCTCATAATATATAGTTTTAATTTACAATTAACTATATATTATAATGTATCAATATACATATAATCCCTTAAGTAATTTGAACAATTCAAATTCTTCCAAAAYCTTGATCCTCGYTTTACCWRTTATGAGCTAGCAAGGGGACCTAATGGACCTGCAGATCCGAAGCTCCAACGATGCAAGATTAATCGGTCAAACTCATTGACCGAGATAATCTAGATTCGTTAACTACGGGTCATTCCA